AAAAGTTTACAAATATTTTGATAAAGTTTTTCGAGAGTATTTTGATCTTTTTTTATTCTTGCTGGCTCAGAGCGATATTTCAAAACTGATCGTGCCTTCGAGTACTTTTAAGAGCCAGGAAGACAGACTTGGAATGCCCATATTCAGATATCCTGCTTCAGTCTCCACCCCTTTACTCGGAGGCTTATATATATATCCTTTCCCTTTAGATAAGGTCTTTTATCGAAATATTTATACATATGCAGAAGTGCTCAGTCTTAGTGGAATATGCGGTGAATTTAACTGTGTATTAAATTCGATGCTCTCTAATTTGACATAACACAGACAAATTACAAATTATGGCTTTTGCTTTAAGATAATTAAGACTAAACAGAGATCATATGTATATACATATTTGTAGTTGACTATGCACTCTCAAATTGTACAACGTAAAACTTGGATGTATGTGTTAAATTCACGTGATTTTTAACTAAATTTAGCAACTTTGTTTTCCTTCATTAGACAGTATCAGTTTTTTCTCCAACCATGCAAATATCTCATGAGGTCAAGGTCTATTTTGATTTGGTGTGTAGGTTAAGCTATGCGAACACAGCTTCTTTGTTAAATTTACATTATAGTCATGAGGCTTGAACTTAGACAACGGCATGTATTGGTATTGCACTTGAAACTAATCTTTGCGCGTCTGCGTTAAACAATGATTGTTAGCTTTTTTACCTACTAGCACAAAACAACTATTTTCTTCCGCAGCGTCAGTACGTTCCCCTCGTCCGTAGGCCTTGCAGATATTGCTTTGTCAGCTCAGAATGGAAAATGCTTACATAAGCATATACATTATGACACGTTGCTTATAATTTTTTCTGCCTTCTTAAGAGAAACATTTATGCAACGGTTCGCCTTGTATGCTCATTCCATACGTAAGTCGCCCCCTTGAAACTGTCAAGTTGGAGTTCTGTTGCGCTAGAATTCTACTACTACGAAACTTGCGACTGGAGAAAATCGATTCGCTCTGTCGTGCGAAAGGAATATCTTTGACCTGACGGTGATTCATGAATCGTTTCCAGTAAATACACAGGCAGTGGGTTGCAGATATCAATCATCAGTGTTGCGAGATTGTTTCGTAAGAAAGGTCGATCAGCCGATTCATTGCGCCTCTTTTATCAGCAGGTGGTTTCCGCTGACGAGCTAGAAGTATGGTGAACGTTCGCCTGCATTTATTGACGAATTTACATGCCATGCTATGCTGGCTTGGCGACAGTGCGTAAAAGGTCCACTTCGAACTCTGTCGGTACTGGGTTCGGTTACGGCTGGCTGCAGTCTTTGTCCAAGCCAGGAATTCTTTGAAACAATGAATTTACCGCACGGTACTTCAGAATGGAGTTACTCAGTCGGTTAAGCGTCGGGTTCAGAACCAACACACCCCGGATTCGATCCCCGGTTAGATTACTTGCCTTTCTTCTTTTCGAGGTTCATAAATGAGTACCACTCTGTGCGAATAAAACAGTAAATTATACACTGGGTTTGTCGCGTAACTGCTTTCACTTGAAAATTAGGCACTCCTTGTTGATGGCACCATTAAATTCATGAAAAGAATGGCACTAGACTGGCCTTATCATAAGGAATGCCGACATTGCAGCGGTTATGAACTTTCTTTCATGCGATGCATGAGAATTTTTTAAAATCAGCATAGTCGGGTGTTTTATATAAATATCGCTAATCGCTTGAAAAGTGGGCAAAATCGATGTTGTGTTCCTTCGTCGGGACTGCCGCCCATGCCATCGATGATGTCCTTAAAGGAAGTAGGACGAACAGATTGGGACCCATCGTAAGATTGCAGGTCAGAACAGATTTTCTTATAGGTTTTGCTTTCAACAGGCATTCCTTTTCTATTACCACTGTTTGTTGTTACCCGCATTATTTGCAGATTCACATTTATTCTCCTTTTCAGGAACATTTATTTATTCAATACTTTCCTACCGCTGGTTGTCTACTCAGTGACTGCACTATTTCAGAGCCTGAAACTGTCGACGTCGAAGTTCGTGGCCAAATCGCGATGACGAAGACTCAGACGGATGTAGGGGCGGAAAAAGAACAAAAGACACAGACGTCGACTTACACCTATGAACGCTTAAGCGACACCAGCTTTAAACTTATCCGATTACAGACCCGCGAATCAGTTACTTTTCCGAAGTCAAAGTTGATTTCTACGGCTTGTTCAGATGCTCGGTTCACAGACGGATCGGCGATCATTTCTGACGAACGTGGTAAGTGAAGTGCTGACTGCGGTGTTTAGACGCTTTTTTTATCAGTGCCATATGTAGATGGTCCAAAGGCTGCGTCGAACGATATAACTCAGAACGACGAACTGAAGCGTTGTAAGCAGCCTCTGAAGTGTGAAAAGTATGTGTAAGAGAATTTTATTTTAATTGCTACGTCTGTCAGAATTTGTTTGAAGGGAAGATGGTAGCAGCATAACAGTATTCGCTACCTTTTGACCGTCTCCGTTTTAGCAGTTCTTAATTCAGACAATATTTCTGTTTGTATGGTATAATCTTAGTAACATCATTGTCAAGACCTTACACGTCTGAACTGTTTCTACAGTTTTGTCTCTGCAAAATTGTGTGCATGCGACGTAGTGGTCATTCAACCTTATTGTCAAAGTTTAAGCTAATTCTGTGCAGTAAACAGCAGTGTTGATGAACCTCATAACCGTGTGAGTTTAGGGTCTTGAAGGAAGTCCAACCACGCCTGTGCTATCCTGAAAAAGGTTCGAAGCGCGACCGGTCAAAGTTACCACTGGATCGCTAATTCTTTGACTGTAATCCTTGTTGCGTTCTATTTATTCAAATTTTCTAGGTCAGATTCGAAAAACCCAAGACGCGAGTAAGCCAAAATGTTCAAAGTTCAAAGGTGAGTGTAATCATGTCTTCAACTTTAACGATATATATTCGTTACTCTGCTTGTTTTCATTATGGGTTCGCCATGAACGTAAGTCGAAACCTTGACATTTTCCGCTTTCTGTCTCTACGATTGAACAAATAATTTGACCGGCAGATCATCCCAGCATGTCTTGGACGACGCAGTCGATGTTGTTAGTCCTGCAAAGCCCTGCTTGTAACGCTTTACATCGATCGGTTGTCTTTCAAGTCAACCACCTGACCGGTCCATCTTCTTTTGGAGTCGTTGTAGGCGAAAATCACGTCGGTTAATTCAGTCAGTTGTCGAATTTCTGCGCTTGAAGCAGAGAGAGGCCTTGCAAATTTTTCACTCCATGCGTGACCATCAGATTGTTCTACTCCAATATAGTAGCAGGAAAACCGTAAATAGATCATGGTCCATAGAATGGTTGAATCAAACAGTTCTTCATTCGCCAGTAGGGGTTGGTAACTCTACGGGAATGACATTTTGACGCAGTTCAAACTGACTGATGCCATTTCGTTTAGCTGATTTCTCCTAACCGGTTCATGCCGTCTGTGAACGGTCAAGGTACGCATCACTGATAACTTCTTCGAGTTCTTTTCCATTCACACAGACCAAGCCATCCGGACATTGCCCGTTTCATATCCAATTCGTCTTAGAGAGGTTTATCCTCCAAAGTAATGGTGAGAGAACTCCGCCGTTGCCGGTCCTTAGCCCGGTTCAGAAAGGAGGACGGATGGAGATTGTCGCATAGTCTTCATAAAATTTAGCCATCCACCACTCGCGGTATTGACGCCATCGAAAATTATACCGGCTTGGGTCGCCCGGGTTACCAAGGGCTGCGCAGGCTATTGGGGGACTGAGGCAGACTGCAAAAAGTCAGAGATCAGAACCAGCTCATCGCCCACTGCCAGCGCCAGCATGAGGCGTAGCAGCACAACAACGGCTGTCGAAGATCGACGAAACGACGACGAAGATATCTGTCAGCAGCGGAGTCGCTATCTGTGCCGAACGAAGGAGGCAGGCAGCGCCATGCCATTATGGCACGTCAGAAAAGAATCAACGAAAACGACACCACCAGTGGGAGCTTTAAATCGGAAACTGGAACATATCCTCACTCAGAGGGAAAGAACAACCGTTAGTTCATGAAGCCATAGACTACCAACTCGACATTGTTTGACTCGTCAACGAACCGCCAAGGCTCTGGACTCCTGGACCTCAGTGGATGGAAGCTATATTACCCAGGCGTAGATATCACGAC